TACAATTCTCTAATGTGTACACTCCAAGTTACTGTATGAATTTTGTACTGGTATAATAAAAATATTCATGTTATTTTGGACTTTGCATATCATCCTTTGAATACATAAAAATTATGAATTGCTAAGTTAAATTCATAAAACACAGTGCAAGACTGTAAAGCAAGTCTTATACGGAAGCAAGATGCTAAAAAAAGAGTATAAATTAGAACACAGCTGTCACACTGGTCCTACATTATAAAACACAAAGTAAGATGACATGGTATCATCTCTGCATACGAGCCCCCTCCCCCAGGAATTTTGTAGCCACAAATCAAAAAAGGAAACATTAATAACCTCTTTGACAACTTTTCCTGAAAATCTCCCCAATGCATTCTGTATGAATTTGAAATCTAGAAGCTTATGGGGCAAGACTTTCTGCTTTAAATATCTGTTTCAGTACCAGGCAGTAGTTCTCTGTTCTTCTAATTATCTTTCTTTACATATTGGAGGTTAAATTCCTACTGACACATGGGCCACCAAGACTCCTGTAGGATCCTACAGAGTTGTGTACACAATTCTATCTACTTTTGTGGTCGAAAGCTAACTTTCTTAGATTTGTGAAGTCCAGATCATGGAAAAGTTACTTTTGAGTTACAAGTCTCTGAATCTTCAAGCCAACACAATGCTGGCTTGGGGATTCAAGGTCTTGTAGTCCAAAAAAGTAAACTTTTCAAGCTCATCCTCTGACAAAAATCCTCCCTTTCCCTCTCTCTCACACACAAAGCCAAAAAACCCACATAAACCAGACTATTTTTCCTAATATTACTAACTGCTTTTCCAAACTTCAAACTGCAGAGCTCTTTGTGCTAAAACAGAGGGGGAAGACTCCTGTTCTAGCAACCTATTTGAGATTCTTCTGCTAACAAAAGCAGTATTACTGATCTGCAACATGAAGAATAGTCTGACCACATCACTCTTTTATATAACAGCTAGGCAACCTTGTACAACTTCTAACTCTAACAATGACACTTGACCTATTCTTTGAATTTCAGACATAATATATGGTGTCAAGCAGTGGTTCCCAACCTTGGGTCCCCAGATGTTTCTAGATTAGAACTGTCTGAAGCCTTCACCACCAGCTGTGCCGGTCAGAATTTCTGGGAGTTGTAGTCCAAGAACACCTGGGTTACTCAAGGTTGGGAACCATTAGCGTAGAGCACTGACCCACCTGGGTTACTCAAGGCTGGGAACCATTAGTGTACTGACCTATTTATTTAGATGACATCTCCCCAAATCTCCCAGCTGGAAGCATGCCATGCTCTCTGTGGAATTCTGGGAATTATTATTATTTTAATTAACTTTTCCAAGTTCTCCATTCCATAAGAACCAAATCTCTAATTACTGCAGGCTGTTTCCCTAACAGTATCACATCTATCCTATTGTCTTCCTACCTTTGAAAATTCAAATGAATACTATGATGGAAGAACAATTATTTTTAGATTTGAAAACAGTGGCTGAAATCTAGTAGTGAACTTGCGGAGGGTTGACCCACTGATTCAATGAGCCTACTCTAGTTGTGATCTACAACTGGACTTCAGCCACTGACACATCCTTATAGATCTATCTGCAGAGTTCTCTGGCTCCCAGACTCTGGCCAGATCCTTATTCTGTTTGTAAGCTGTAACAGGACTGAAACAGAAATTGAACAGATGGATAATTGTTTCTGGCCCTCCCTTGGTATCACAGCAGGCTCACAGGAGAGGGGTATTTGTTCATTGCTGTCTCAGATTTCCCTATGGAAAAACACAACATAGGACAGATAATAGATGTGGGGATTAACATAGTGAGTCCCCAGCTCAGATGGGATCTTAACGGACATCCCCAAAGTTGATTATGAAACCAGAAGAACTGGGAGAGAATAAGGTATATTTCACAAGCAGTTTGGCTTCTATAGAAATCTACATACTGTATTTTTATTCATTTAAAAGATTTTATCCCGCCTTTCTCTTTAAAAAGGACTCAATGTGGCTTATACCACTAAAAAGCCAATATTTAAAAGCTAAAACAGTAAGTATACAACTATTAAAAAAGAATTAAACAAGTATTATATTAAAATGGTAACTAAGATCAATATTAAAACACAATTAAAACAACAGAGCACAACAGTCCATTGAAAACCCTTCTCAGATTATCAGTCATTAAGGAGAAGAGAAAAGTCTTTGCCTGCTTGGGGATGGACAGCAAAGATGGGGCCAGCCTAGCTTCCTGTGGAAGGGAATTCCAGAGTCTGGGAGCAGCGACAGAGAAGGCCCTCTCCTGTGTCCCCACCAAGTGCACCTGTGAAGGTGGTGGGACCGAGAGAAAGGCCTCTCCTGATAATCTTAAAGCCCAGTCAGGCTCATAGAGGGAGATGGATATAAGGAAGCATGACTTTGAGATCTTTGCCTGAGCGTAATGTAAAAAAAGAAAATAGAAGCTGCCTTTAATATTGTTTGAACAATTATTTTAATATTGTTTGAACAATTACATTGGGCATGCTCAATTCACTGATTTTAGTGGAAGAAATTTAAACTGTAAGCTTAACACCAATAGAGTATTTATGAGTAGCTTCATATGGTAAAAAAAGAGGGCCAGAAATCATACTAAATACAATACTACAGATCTTTTTTGATATATACATTGGCTAGGTTGCCCTACAACACACATAAGACAACCACACTGATCAACATTGCATATTAACATTTAATGGTTCTATTATAGCTTCCTTTTGTCCCCATTCATTACAAACAAAAATGTAATATCATTCCTACCCATGTTCCCACATAGCTGCGCAACTCCCTTCGAGAATCCAAAAGCACATCATATCCCTAAGCACAGGTCAGATTCATAACAATTTGACCAGCACCAAAAAATCCATAAAATTACAAGAAGGATTTCTTCCATTATCAAGTGTGTATGTCAACTTGATTATTTCACAACACCTGTATTCTGACAGTCTCCTTAGTAGGTTGCTTCCATAATTGTCAAAAATAATTTGATTAATAAACCTATTAGTAAAGGGTGAGTGGATATTAGCAACACACTGTCTCTGGTTTGAAAACTGATCTGGTTAACAGAGACATCCTTCCTGATCATACGTGAGCTGATTTCTCATTATCAGACAGTTGCAACCACCTAAAAAAAAGTGTTTTTTTTTTAAAAGGAATTTGCACTGATATTTAAAGCTTAGAAAACCTGGTTTTGAATGACACTTCCCAGAAGCTCTCGTCAGCATGGCTGCTGGCAATGATGACTGGGAGATTCTGTAAATATTAAACATTTTGACAATGTAGATATGATTTCTCCAATAGTCTCTTTCATCCAATAGGACCTCTTTCATCCATTATGGTATTTCATGGAAGCTTATAAGCTTCCATGAAGGCCTGCTATCCATAAGGTCTACTATCGCACAAATGTTTAGTATGAAAAACCCATACATTGGTTCATAGTAAGAGGATATACCTCCAAAATTCCATTATCTTAAAAAAAGGAATGTTAGTTTAATCTGCTCTGTTTACTCTTCTGAAGAATTGCCACCAGACGAATTTGTTGCCTCGCAGCAATTTTTATGTGGCAAAGGGATCTATTAAAATTGAGCTGGTCAATGCAATGTTTACAGAGCGGGACTCTCTCTCTACCATCTGGTTTGGATTTTTTTAGAAGACATGGTGGTTACAGTGGGACAGGTTGTGATGCCCTGGCCATGAGCTAAAGCAATGGAGGGCAACTTCATTTGGTCCATGGCCAGTTTTCTTCCCTACATCCTCCAGAAGCCACAAAGAGCAGATACCTGCAATCTATGTAAAAGGTGAATTTTTGTTCCCAGAGGCTTCTAGGAATGCAAATTCACCGTCCCTCTTTCTTTCTCTTTCTTGAACGCAAAAAATTCTGATGGATCCAGAAGCCACCAAAATACCTGGGGATGTCTGTGATTTGCATGGACATGTAAGGGAGTCCTTTGCCCGCCCCTGTGCTAAAGAAAGAGTCCATTTGATGTTCTCCAGCTTGCAGGAAGATTACAATATAGATTCTTAAGGTCAAGTAAGACCATCAAAATTAGCTAAACTGACACGAAATGTACTAACTGTACATTTTGTAATGCAAACAGGGATTGTCCTTTGAAAAATCTGCCAGCCAGTTATAGAACTGAACTTCTCCCACTTTTCACAAGAACTGGCAAGGAATGATGATGACAAATGTTCGAGCTAGATAGATTCCCTCATTACTAGGATTTGCAAACCAGGGAATCTGCAGGGGCAGGTTAATTAATACAAAAACAGCAGTTCCTTGGCCAATCCCTTAATTGTAGCTAAAGAGGACAGATACCACATCTGTACTAGCTCCAGATGGACTTACTCAGAAGAAAATTCATGGGTTTGTCCCATCATCAACATGAATCACTTTTACCATACTAAGGGTGACAGCCAAACATGGAACATTTCACACAACAAGAATCAGTCCACTTTGTATTTCTCAGCTGGAAAATGCCTATTTTTAGCACCTTTTAAGTAACCTGGTATTACTAACACAGGATCTGAAGATACTCAATGAGAAATGTAGACAAATCAAAATAATTAACACACCAGTTACAATGCCAGACTATGAATGAGCAAAGCTCTTCCAGAGCTTACTTACATCCATTTGGATTGGACTGTGATTTAATTATCTAGAAAGGGTATCTAGAAGGGCCAAAATCCTCTTGCGTAGCTATGCAAATGGCGTAATTGACAACTCAGTATGACACTGAAAAACTGTCTATGGGAATTTCTTAACTTGGGGCAATTCCCTTCCAAACATGGCACAATGTGTGCTACACTAGCATAACTAAGCAAGAGGATTTGGGCCAAGATGTACAATTACTTGGTTCAGCTGCCCTTTAAAAAATAAAAATAAAAAAATTCCCCCAATGAAGAGGAGGATTTAATTACTCTCTTCCTCTCTATAGGTGGGTTATTGGGAGGGTTTTTGGAAGTGCCTCTTACCATTAGAGTCTTCCACTTCTTCAGCAGTAGTGTGGTTCTTGGAGGCATGTTGAGCATGCGAGGTGACAAGGCTGGCAATGCGTGGTCTTGGTAGTGCCAGTGCCTTCCCATGCACTTTCAGGGAGTGCTCTTTCAGCTGGCTGATTGTCATGGTGGAAAATGAGCACGAGGAGCATTTGTAGGCATGTTCACCTGGGTGAGCGAAATAACAGGCAAGTCATCAGCTCACAAGACGACAGGAGAGAAAAAAAAGAAGGAAAGGGAGGTGAGGGGCAGAAATCTTTCTTGTCCTATTAAACTCAGCAGTGAGAATCCTGTGGGTTCCTCCTCTGGGTGGTCCTAAAAAGAGAGTAAAAGCACTTTAAACTGTTCTATTTCCAATGGTCTCTGGGCCAAAACACACAACTGGCACCAGCAGGGAGGCAGCTGTCTTCTTCTGCCTCTGGCAGCAACTCCTTCTGCACGGCCAGAGCTCAGAAAAGTTACTTTCTGAACTGCAACTCCCAGCATCCACTAGCCAATGAATCTGCTGGCTGGCCAGCTCTGGGAGTTGTAATTCACCAAAGTAACTTGTGCAAGCCAACACATGGCATGCGGTCCGCTTGACTGATTCACCATCTGCAAAAGGCTGTAACTCCAAACCCACAGTGAGGTCACTAGGGAAAGGTTGCCGTGTAGGGAGTGAGCAGGTTCTACCCAAGGCAAAACAAGTCAATCTGCAGTCTTCAAAAAAAGGAGATGCCATGGGCTGAAGTGGACACCACCAGCAAGATCCAGTGCTCATGTGAAATTGTGGTTTTTTGGGGGGTTTGGGGGTGGGTGGGAGGAACAGACATCAATATCCATTAACAAAAAATTGTTAACCCTAAATTGCAAAATGAAGAACCTTGTGTGCAATTTAGGTCACAAGGCCAGAGTTGAGGAACTTTACATGCTCCTTCAGGATGCTGATGTCAGACGAAGAGGTGGGAAAACAGAGTAAATTAAAATAGTCGTTAACGACCTCTCTGAAAGAGAATTTGACAGAGGAGGAAAGTCTTCCCCTAAAAGCCAAAATAACTTTTATATAATAAAATATCCCACATGCATGAATTCACAGAGACCATGAAGAGTAGATTTGCAATGGGTCAGAGTAGATTTCCAATGAGAAGACTTGAAAATGCCATATACAGCGAACATTGCAAAGCCGGATGGAAACTGTGCTACAGGAGGGAGGAAGGAAGGAAGGAAGGAATTATGTCCCAAGGAAAAAAGAAGTATCAAAAGCAGGGTTTAAGGCCTACATTGAAGTGTCTGTGATATGCAAGTAAAAGTGTCTAAGGTGGAACTTTGATGTGAAATAGCATCCATCGTGAAAGTTATCTCACTTTAAGACTTAGCAGGGCAGTCCTCTAACACAGTGGTCCCCAACCTTGGGCCTCCAGATGTTCTTGGACTACAACTCCCAGAAGCTTTCACCACCACCACCAGGATTTCTGGGAGTTGAAGTCCAAGACCATTTGGAGGCCCAAGCCTGCCGACCACTGCTCTAAAACACCTCTATGTCTATTGTGGAGAACTGCACTGTTACTAAAATAAATCTCTTACCTTTATACTAATGAAAACATATTTGCACCAAACTATATAACATTGTATGGAGGACTGCTAGAAAAAGCACTTGTCTCGCTCATATATTTTCCCTTCCAATCCAAGATTATACCCTGAAAGAGGTAGCTTCAGGTCTATATGCTTCCTCACACATACTTCTTCTGCCTCTCTCGTATTTCTCTCCACTGGTGAGAAAATTTCACAGGCAAACTAAGAGACTGACTCTTTATACCTTGTAGAATAAAATCTGAAAAGGGAAGGATGATTTCACACAGAGTCTATGAGATCCAATTTTCAAATGGAATGAATAATGATTACAAAGAAGGGCAGGAGAAAGCTACTTGAGGGAGGGCACAAACTGAGCCTGGCTCCCAGCCTTCTCTTTGGTACAACAGGTGCAACCACAAAACACACATGGGCCACAAACCACTACATTGAGCGTGCGTTAGAGGAAGTGTGATGACTAAGGGGAGAATAAATCAGAATTATTCCTGTAGAAATTTGGTCTGAGAGGAATGCATTCACAAGCAAGCAGATTTACCAACCATCGTGTTATACAATGTGACAGCTCAGGAGGCTTGATAAAGAAAGCATAGATGCCAAAGTCCTTAACTAGTACTTTAGAGTAAATCTTCAAGGTTTGCAGGCAAAATGGAAGCTTCCAAGAACTATATAATTTGCATAGGAAGCACAGAAGGAACATGAATTTTAAAGCAAGAGTTAAACCAATTAGCTAAAACAGCAAAACGAAGAACCACTTTCCACAAAGGCAAGCAGGCAGGCAAAGCATCACAGGACTCAATGCTATATCGGACATATTTGTGAGAGGCAATGCTTTTTTTTATGATACAGAAGCACATTACATAATTCTTCTATTAAAATAGCAATACACAATCCAAAACATATTTCAACAGGTACTCCATGCACCACGTCCTTCTACCTTGAACCTTGGTGACACAACGCCTAATAAAGCACTCTATGTAAATAAAGAACAGAAGGCAGTTCTCTCAATATTACTGCTTTCCCTGATCATACATTGTTAGGCTAGACAGGTTGGGCTCCGTGGTGCTTTCATCTTACATCCAGGGGTCACATGACAGCTGGATCCTGGCATGGAAGCTGCTCCATGGGGTTGGGTTAATGAGAAAGGACCCTAATGTCCCACAGGACATTTTAAAATGCATCTTCATGTTCATACAAATAGGATTTATGTTGCTTCCCTTGCAACCTGCTACATTAAACTGCGACACTCAAGACACTGCAGTCCGATATTACATTTGGAATAATAATTTTAAAAATTCCACCTTGCCTCAAATTACCAAATAATGGTAAAAAAGCCAACACATTACAATCATTTATTGGGTTCTGCAGATTGACAGTTCATCACACTATACTGCCAGCTCAGGAATTGGCAATATTTGGTCACTCAGCTTCCAGATGCTTAAGGCAGTATGGCAAACAGTGAAGGATAAGAGGAGAGCCAAAACGTCTAACATAGATTCCTTACTCCTGTAGTAGTCAAAGCAGAAGAAGATCAGCAGCAAGGAACAGTTTAGGTAAGGAATCTTGCAGCAGTCAAAAAAAAAAAGGAATCAGAGGTAGTCAAATGAAGAGTTCTAAACGGAATTTGTAGCTGTGCGGTTTCACCCAGATCATCACTGATATGTGACAGTGTGTCAAAAAAATGTTAATCTTTTTTTTTAAAAAAAATAAATCTCAGGTGAGAATACCACATCCAGACATTTTCCTGGATTTCATGTTCCAGATTTCATTAGTTTTAACAGAATGACCACTGAGTAGCACAATGTATAATACAGCATCCTCGAGCTCATAAAAACAGCCTCGCTAGATCATAAGAAAAGTCCATTCAGTCTGCCATTAGGTCTGCAACAGCAGCCAACCCATATGTATGGGATACAAACAATGCATGAACACAAGATGTTAGGGAGAACCCTCTTTTAAGAATCACTGCTATTAGCAACAGGTAGAGGTCTTCTCTATGAATTTAGCACAGTTTAAAAAACTACACAGGCTAACTGCCAGACACTATATCAGTGCTGTTCTGAAGATGAGTTTAATGGAATTATCACAAGTTATTTTATTAGCCATGCTAGCCACAACATTCTTAATTTTATAAATGGCTGCAATGAGGGCAGAGGGTGGAACAGCCAGTTGTGAATAGTTTAATGAGTAGAACTTCTGGGAAGACAAAGTAAAGGCACAAAAAAGGCAATATAATCCTGCTAGTACACAATGGTTCAAACAGCCAAAATAAGACTATAGAGAGATAGAATGAATTTTGTGATATCACACTGTTATGTTATGAAAAATGTCATCATACTGATGAGGAGCAGAAAGCTTCTGGATTGCCTGTGTTTATACAGGTGGCTCATCCATTTCCTAAACAATACTGTTAGAAAAAAAAAGAACTGAACAAATTGACCTTTGGGAGGGAGGAGACACACCATTTCACACATCCAGCAAAGCAAGTTCATAATAATCTGATCTAACACAGCTTAGAAAACTTAACACTGAATGCACGCTCATGGAGAAAGAGAAAAAGGCTATTGCAATCCACCCTCTCACGTAAGAAATAAAACGAAATCTGGGATTGCTTGACAGATGGAACGGGTGCATACAGGGGAGGAACTCATACAAGGGCACAACACAAAAGCCACACTACAAGGCACTGAAAACCACAAGAACAGGATTTGGCATGGACACAGTTATGAAGGCTCAAATAGCACATAAATTTATCAGCATCTGAAATGAGAAATGTTGCTGAAGTGGAATTTCTTAAAATGAGAAATGGAATGAAGCTTTTCACCATGTTTATCTTAGAAAGTGACACCCCAAGAGAACACAACAAAAATATTCCTGCTGTTCAGCCAAGAAAAGATTCCGCTGCAGAAGACAGTCCCCACCAGAACCCCTTGCTTTGGAATAAATTCCAACTTTCTCATGAGTTCAATGAAATAACAATTTAAAGCCAACTGTGTTCTACCTATCTCTCCCCCACCCCCCTTTACAATGTTGCTTACAAAGACTATGGTCAAAATATGATTGCTATCAAAGTAACATCCTACCAGATACACCTGCCCAGCCTAGAGGACGCTGCACAAAGCTAGATTTTAGAAAACAAGCAACCTATACCCTGTTCTGATTTTTGTCATGTCAATCCAGGACATTCTAGTTCTGTGAACATTTTCATAGCCATCAAAAAACGCCTCCCATTTTCAGCATTTTTTTTAAAAAAAAGAATAGATGTTCAAAGATGTGCATAAGTGTTTGCAGAAAAGGAAGAAAAACTTCTCTGTTACCCTGGCAACCCAGGCAATCCTTGTTTTGAAGCACTGCAGTAAGGAAACTGAACAAATTGAAAAAGAATTGAACTAAATGTAATACTTTCCTTGGGGCTGTGTCGGGTTTTAGTTCGTCTCCAGCCCTCCATGGGTGTGAAAACCTGCTCCTGTGGGTTTTACAGAACAGGTTTTCTAGGCCATGAAGCAAGGGGATTCTACTACCTCCTGGTTCTGGAAGCAAGTTTTACAAGTAGAAGGTGTACTGTTCCACAGGTCATAACGTGAAAAGCACATTGAATACTACAGTATGTACACCGACCATACTACAGTGGTGCCCCGCTTGACGATAACCCCGCTTGATGACAAAATGACGATGACCCCGCTTGACGACAAAATCGCATAACAATGAGTTTTTTGCAATTGATATAGCAATCGCAAAACAATGGTTTCAATGGGTTTTTTTTTGTTTCACAATGATTTGTACCCTGCTTCGCGAACCTATTGTTCGCTAGACGACGATTAAACCTGCTTCGCGAACCGATTGTTCGCTAGACAACGGTTAAAAACAACTGATCGGCGGTTCGCAAAATAGCTCCCCGCTGTTTTCTGGACCTATTTTCACTACACAGGCATCGCAAAATGGCAGCCCTATGGAGGATCTGGCAGCCCTATGGACAAGAAGGTATTTCCCCCATTGGAACGCATTGACCGGTTTTCAATGCATTCCAATGGTGTTTTTTTTCGCTTGACAACGATTTCGCTGTACAGCGATTTTGCTGGAACGCATTATCGTCATCAAGCGGGGCACCACTGTACCAGAGTATGTACACCAATCAGCTACAACATTAAAAACACCTGCCTAATATTATGTAGTTCTCTCCCCCACTTGTGCTGCCAGAACAGCTCTGATGCATCAAGCAAGGATTCCGCAAGACCTCTGAACGTGTCCTGTGGCAACTGGCACCAGTAGATTCTTTAAATCTTGCAAGTTGTGAGATGGATCGGATTTGATGTTCCAGCACATACCAAAGATTATCCATCGCATTGAGATCTGGGGAATCTGAAGGCCAAGGCAACATCTTGAACTCTCTGTCATGTTCCTCAAACCATTCCTGAACTATTTTTGTAGTGTGGCAGGGCGCATTATCCTGCTGAAAGAGGCCACTGTCATTAGGGAACTCCACTGCCATGAAGGGGTGTATCTGACTGCAACAATCTCTAGGCAGGTGGTATGTGTCAAAATTACATCCACGTGAATACTACAACTCAAGGGTTTCCAGCAGAACATTGCCTAGAGCATAACACTGCCTCTGCCTGCCATAGTGCATCCTGCTGCCATCTCTACCCTGGCTAAATGATGCACACGCCCCCAGCCATCCACCTGATCTAAAAGAAAAGTTATTCATCAGGCCAGGCAACTTTCTGCCATTGCTCCATGGTCCAGTTCAAATGCTCATATCCCCACTGTAAGTGCTTTTGGCAGCGGCCAGGGATCTACATGGGTGCTCTGACCAGTCTGCAGTTATCCAGCCCCATACACAGCAAACTGTGATGCACTGTGCATTCTTACACCATTCGATCATAGCCAATATTAAGTTTTTCAGCAGTTTGAACTACAGTAGCTCTTCTATGTGATTGAACAAGACAGGCTAGCCTTTGCTCCCCATGTACATAATTGAGCTTCAGAAGGCTAGCCTTTGCTCCCCATGTACATAATAATTGAGCTTCAGGCACATGCAGCCCTAATGCCGGTTCACCAGTTGTCCTTCCCTGCGCTACTTTTGATAGGAATTAACCACTGAATCCTGGGTATACCCCAGAAGACTTGCTGTTCTGGAGACGCTCCAAAATGACCCAGTCGTTTAACCATCACTATTTGGCCCTTGTCAAAGTCATTCAGATGTTTTCACTTGTCCATATTTCCCACTTCCATGAAGTTCAAGAACTGACTATTCATTTGCTGCCATAGTAATAATATAACCAATGCTATTCACTTCACCTGCATGTGGTTTTAATTGTTGCGGCTGATCAGTGTATGGATTCAGTCTCTTGAAATAGATATTTAAACATGTAGAAAATCGTGCAGTCAAGTATACATCCCATGGCACTCAGTTGAGATTTGTGTGCTTCTCATGCACATTCTAGTCTGCACTCCACTGGAAGTTCATTGGTTCTCACTGTCAACTACACAGCCCCATCTGTTGGCTTCATGACATCATCATGCTTTTACTATGTGTCCTCTGATTGGGTAGGACATACATGGTGAAAGAAAAATAAAAAGATGCCATCTGGCTATTTATTATTGTTTTCGTAATGCAAAACAACATGACATGGCATCAGCAAAGGGTACAAGGGGATTCAAAACACAGCACCAAGGAGCAGGCTTTAAATTCCTTTTAGGGAGAACTTACTCTATGGAAGCACATTTTCCACTTAAAGATATTTTATGAAAGCTCTCTCAATGCATCTTTCTCTAGAAAAATCTTCAAAACCATCTGGACAGCCTTCTCTTAATCTCAAGCCTTTTCTTTCTTCTTCCCTCTCTCACTTTCACTCCCAGAAATGTTTGATTTCTACATCTGATTTTCCGATTCTTACTGCTTTAGACCCGATACCAATTTTAGAATCACTTCTTAGCCTAGTATAATTAGCCCACCTCAAAGTTTACTCTTGCTTCATGGTTTGCTGGCTTAGCTTCAGCACCATAACCACACCTTCTTCTGGCTAGACTGAATGCCTATATCCAGGTAACAAACTGATGAACTAACAAGCTGCAAGTGGAAAAAAAACCAGTAAGGTATTTCTTGAGATCTTCGCTATGAAACAGAAAAAAAAAAGGACTCACCAGCATGAGCTTTGAGTAGATGAGTTTTCAGACGGCTGTTATATGAGGACTTAAATGGGCAGAGTTTGCAGCGGAATGGTTTATGGTGTCCATGGTGAGCTTGCATATGACGATCCAAACTTGTTACAGGAAAAGCAGCAGTGAGAAAGGAAAGGGAAATGTGAATCATTTCAGATAAAATTGGACAAAAGAACATACATTTCATATCTCTAAGGTGGCTTCTTTGGCTCGTTATCAGCAAAAAATAAATTTTAACCAACAAACAAAAAAAAACAACAGCACAGGAGTTGAACAATGAAACAGGCAAATTGGATCATATCTGGTTCGTCTATAATAGTCAGGGATAGGAACAAGTAGGCGCAACATGGGATATAGCTAAGGATACAAAGTTACAGAAAAATATGCTCGTTTGAAAGATGACCTAACAAGTTAATGTGAAAGCTAAGAAACTTCTCTTGGTTTGTCCTGGAAATGTGTACATTTTGAAGTGGCCAAGTAACTAGGTTTCTGTGATTTTGACAGCTACTGTATCATGCAAAAAAAAAATCTGAATTGCAGAGCTGGCGGGTTCTTGTAGGTTATTAAGTCTGCTCTAACCCAATGTAGGAAGTAAAGAACTAGACCACCCTCATCAGATGGCTATTTAGCTTTTGTTTAAATATTGCTTTTGATATTGGACTGCTGCTACTCCTCTTTTTTTCCTAATGTTCACCTTGTGTCTGTGTCTGGCATCAATTCTGACTTATGGCAACCCTTTGCAGGGTTTTCCAGGTAGAGAGTACTCAGAAATGGTTTGCCATTCCCTTCCTATGGGATGGCATGCACACTGAACTCCCAACCTTTGGCTATGCAGCCAGATGCCGAGCCAACTACACTATATAGTCAGCAATGTTCAGGTTTCCAATTTGCCGCACATGCAAACGTTTCAAACTGAAACTTGTTTTATCTATTTCTAGATTTGGTAAATGTTCACCTTACGTTCAACAAATCTAGAAATAGTTCTTCCAAGTCTGCGTCTATGTCTTACCAATTGTTCAAATAAAATCAAAACAAATTTCAATTTCAAACTTTTACTTGTGCTGAAAATCGAAAAGCTGAACAAAAGTCTGGAGGAGATAAATACTCGGAATTCAAAAGTCCTGCAAAGTAGTTCTCTTTGCAATTCTAATTTCCAGCCCTTTGCATGCACTCCAGCAATGACAACAGGAAGCTGATATGAGGAAAAGAGGTAGTTGAGTTTCCATAGTTAATCCCTATGCAAATGTGCAGCAACTTCAGGTTGAAGTTTCTTTATCTGATTTCTCACTATTCATTTTAATGTTTATCAGTTATAATAAAAATATTCAGCAGGTGGCTGACAGGTTCCTGCTCTCTAGAAAAATGTGCCTGTGCAGAAGAAGAAAAAAACACACTTCATAAGGAGCCGTGGGCCCTACAATTATCATTAAGGAACAATTTGTACTTGAAAACAAATAAGTTTTGTCCATGTATATGGGCTTTGCCTATCGTGAAATTATTATCGTCCAAGCAAACCTAGCTTTTACTAAAGAAAGGCATTCGGTTCAGAACTCCGAACTGAATACAATACTGATGCATTCCATTCAGAACCAAGTGTGACCTTTAGATCTGCCGTCCCATCAACTCCCCAGATGTTCTGGACTACAACTACTATTATCTCCATCTAGCTCCAGCATGACAATGAAAGTTGCAGCCCAACACACCTGAGGTTGAGAAGGGCTGTAGTGGAAGAACACAAACAGGGCACAAAGGAGAGGCCCATCCTGTTCATTGACCAAAACCCTGATTATTTCTTCCTCGGAACAAAGAACCATGTTTCAGAGGCAACCCTAAAATCCTAATGCAGCATACCTCTTCCAAAAAGAAAAGAGGGGGAAAAAGGTTAAAAAGCTATTTACAAGGGGAGAAACCATAATGATAAGTTTCCTGCTGAAACATTTCTATTTTGTTTAAATATTAAACCATGTAGGGTAATAGCCAATAGATGTCTGCTCAGAAATAAACCCCCTTCAGCTCCTTTGGATTTCCCTCTCAGTAAATGTGCATAGGATTGCAGCCATATTTGACTTCAGGTAGACTATACTGTAATATTTTGGCACCAAAGAGTCCTTTTGTGGAACAAATCATGAAAGGGTTCATTTCCCACCGAGAGATTGGTGGGTGATTAGTTATCCAGGAATATAAACGGGAATCCAGTTCAGTGTTGAGTAACATTATTCAGTAACAGAATTCAGTTCGGTGCCAAATATAACATTAAAACTCTGCTTTGGCCATCATTGTTATTTGCAGAATTTCTGCCCTGAAGCCCCAAACTCAACATACTAAAACTGATGAAGTTAGTCACTGCCCTTTTTGTAATAACTCATCAACAGCCTGAAAAATAGGTGACAAAATAATATAGTTGACAAAAAGTAAAAGTGTTAATGTGCAGCTTGGGGAAGTACATCAAAACAGTAACTATAGAGTAATGGCTTCAATGTGATTCATAGAAATACTAGTGTTTCAACAAGACTGCCATGCCAAGAATGTGCATGAAAAAATTCTACTTCCAAAATGCTATCACCTCAGGGTGCTCAGATAGCCCATGTACTGGAGAGGCAGAATTTTAATTTAAACAGAAATTTTAAAAATCCAACAACTTTCCCCAGCCCTCTACCAAAATCACAATAATACAAAACCAAATGTGAGTGCTTGAGATTGGTGAACAAAATTTGTCAAGGCATTTCAAAGCCTTTAAAAATAAATACCACAGCAATCCAGTTCCTATCACCCTGCAAAGGCAGCCCCTAGTGGTTCTACATTTCTATTCAAGAGAAGATGAGAGAAAAATCATCTGTTGTCCCAGGAGAGAAGCTAAGAAGAACTGAGAGGAAACATGTCAGAATAGTGAACAAGGCAGGGGGTAAAAAAAAGAGTCCAAAGGGAAGATAATATATTCATATTTAAGTTGTGTGGAGGAGGACTGAGAAGAATAACCGGAGGTCTACATCCTGCCAATATGTCCACAGCCTCCAGGATTTTAATAGATTGTAATGGCAGCACTAGTGAATCTGCTTGATCTCTATCCTTATATGAAGACTTTCACTCAACTCATCTATGTAAATACAGCAAACTGAGCCTAACAGTTCAGATTAGCTGGGCTTTTAAAAAAATAGATCCGACTTTTCTTATTTTGCAGTCCTAAGGCATTCACTATTCATTATGGAATATTAGCATATTCGCCAACATTTTGTACCTGGATAGACAGCTGTGGTGACAGAATGAAAAGGAACAATGGGGTGGGCATTTTGGGCCCACAAACTTGTGTTTATTTGTATTGTGCGATATGGTCAAAGGTGTCAAGGCTGGATTCAGAGTTATAAATACAGTATGGACGGTCTGAAGAATTTGTGCATATCCGAACAAATTATATTGTTAAATAAATAATGCCTAAAAGGTACACATCCACACCGAAACACCTCCCCAAAGGGGGCAATATGGGCCCAAAACTCCACGAATGTTTTACAAGGATGAATAACCTACAAAATATTGATGATTCCTGGGAACGGAACGGTGGTGATGCATCAAAAGCCCCTCCGAGTTAGAGAAAGGAAAAAGAATTGTATGCAGCCTGACACCCTCACCACACTTCAGGCTCTCCACAGACAAGACAAAGGGACCAATCTTACATTAATAGTAGCAGTGCGGCTATCCCTGGAAGCACAAACTCTGGGTGTTTCTAGCTGTATTAGGAGCAGTTTGCACAAATGAGAGCTCCCATATGGACCTGGAAGTATTAGCCTTGCTAGTTGGGAAATTCGAGGGGAGATTTAAGGGGAAAAAAACACTTGAAAAAGGCTTTAGTTCACGCAGCTAAAGGCTCCTGCAACTTCCCTTTCTTTGAAAAAAAAATATATACTCCCAAGGCAGTTGTTGGGGAGGTTTTACAGGAGATCTGACTGAAAGCTCATTTTTCCTTCTTAGATCTACAGATATGTATTTGTTTCCTCCCAGAAACCTGGAAAGCAACCTGCACTTAAGAGATTGTTCTAAACCCTGAATGTGCAGCACAAACCTTTCCTATTTCAACCACTCACCCTGTTGTTAATACCATTCTGCTTCATAGACAAGACTTGTGCCGTGTTAATGTTGGAAATGGAGGCTGTGTGGCCTTCCAGACATTGGTAGATGGCAATTCCCTTCATCCCTCATTACTGGCTCAGCTGGTAGGAATTGTGTTCAACAATATCCAGAGGAGCAAAAATCTCCTGCTTCCTTTTAACACGGATCTGCTTCATCTCACAACATGTTCACTCTCATTTTCTATGCTGAGAAGCATCACTTAACTTTTTCTATACAGAGAACATCTTGTTTTGAACATATCCTCGTCGAAACACATTAATCCCTTTCAATTCTTTATAAACAAAATAGAATTTCTTCTACATGGGGGTCTGAGGCTTAAAAAGATGATACTTCAGAAAATCTTTGCGCGTCAATAAAAAGGAAGGTGAATGTTCAGATTCTATAACACTATTTTTTCATGGGCACATAAGACCTCAGAATTATATTTTCAAATTCTGTATAGGGAAGCTTAGTGATGGCTATTTGAGGACAGGAATAGCTAATCTGCTCTAAGGACATGTTTGCATGAAAGGTATTTCCTCTTTTTCCTCAGTATGTGTGTGTGTATATATATTTACTTAAGGCAAAAGCGAAAAAAGTCTCTTTCCAAGAGACTGAAACGGAGCTTCCAGGTAAGTTCAAGTCCATTGACTGAATGAGGCAGAAAGAACTGAAACTGTTTTATTACCTAAAAAGCATCCTTAATCTATTTCCTAGAGCCAAGATTAAATTCAGATGCTTCAGCATTCCTTTTTCCTTCCTCATAGCAGCTAACAGCTCAATCCTAATCATGTTTAATCGGAACCATTGTTCAATGGCTATTACACCTTAGTTGGGGTGTTTAGGATTGCAGGCACTAGTTTCCTTCTTTCACTTCATGAATCAGTCCCCTGCATTTGCTGGACAATAAATCCACAACGGCCCATGTCTCCAAAGAGCAACAGGCATAGAGGAAGGCATGTAGCCAGCAGCACATTTTTAAATAGATCACCCAGTAATGAGTTAGTGGTGATAACATGAGTAAGAAGAATCAAAAGGGAAAAATCTCAGATTCTGGGGAAAAAAGAAAACAAAAGCACCTACTTTGAACAGATATAATTATGGTATATTCTCCACAATTTCCGTTGTGAACATTTTGACAATGAGTGGTTCATCCAATAGGGAATGACAAAAAGGAGCTAAAACCAATTCAACATACTAATTTCTACAGATACAATTTCTACAATCGCACCTGTATGCATTTTTAGTAAGACATGTTTTGAGAATATCAAAGAGAAATTTCATTAATAGATACCATGGTTCTGTACAAAATTACAGCAGCAGTAAGTTTACAATGAGTAGACACGACACAAGGGCTGAAAGTCAAAACCAGGGACTTAAAAGTGTCTCTAACTCTAAGCAGTGCAACACCTAAAGAGGATTCAATTGCCTTCCTTTTATATGTCCAGTTCAGCCACTGATCTGTCTTGGAAGAGTGATGTTCGCAATCAGAGTTAAATTAGCTACCTATCCCAAATTGAAAGGTTAACATGAAATTAGACAACATTTATATACATTAACGCAAAAGAATGAACTACATCGTTGGACCAGGTGTTCCAGAAATGATGCACATCTGTGAGGTGATTTAACACACTCTGTGTTGCAGAATGTACAGCACCATGTGTACTCAGGAATAAGAGTTCCCAGTATGTGTGGTGAGGTGTGTAGCATTAACATAGCTGCTCCTAGATGTTGGTATGGTTTGGTAATAAGTACCTGAGGAGTAAAACATCTACCAGTGTATAAAGCTGTAAGTTAAGAAACAGAAGTTGGCTTCAATTGACTTTTTAACTTCAAGTTTGGAATTTGTGTTTGCATTTTCATTCTCATCATGTGTTTCTACTGATATACTTCCACAGTCTATAATTCTAATAGAAGATCATGATCTCCTTAAAGCTAGAAGAACCACTTGTGATTTCACTTGTCATGCAGTTGTGTTGCATAAAGCTCTTGATTTACATCACATACATCAGTATACCATATATAATCCAGGATGGACACATACAGTGGTGCCTCGCTAGACAATGATAATCCATTCCACTGAAATCGCTGTCTAGCGAAATCATTGTCTAGCGAAAAGCAAATTGTCGTGTAGCAAAAATCGGTTTGCAAAGCAGGCACCAAACATTGTCCAGCGAAATTCCCCCATAGGAATCACTGTTTTGCGAATCGCAATGTCAATGTCTAGCGAAAAAACTGTCATGCGGGATAACTGTCTAGCGAGGCACCACTGTACACACATGCATTAGAGTCCGCAGTCATGTCTTAACAAGATATCAGCAGCAGAAAGAGTATCTAACACAGACTTACTTGTGCCTGAAAGCAGAGACAAAGGAACAATATTGGCAGCTGTACTTGTCTTCACGAGTAAACATGGCCAATGCCAAGTGACTCCTCTCATGCGATCGTAGACCCTGCATAGACATCAAAACCCGGTCACACTGGCTGCAGTGGTAGCCACCAGGTCTGGTTTCATCTTCCAGTGATGGTCCAGATTCAGCTTCTGTAAGTTCCACAGTGGCCACACTGCCAGGGTCTTTGGCTCCCTCAATACCCTCCAAGAAAGCTGCATGTGAAGGATCTTCAGCTTCCTGCTAAAAGACACACATCCCCCCAAAGCCATCAATTCTCTCTCCCTTCTGCCCTACAGTTACCATTAAACCTATGGACGTGTGTGGTTTTCTTCTAACAGTGATATTTCTAGAACTCTAGCTATAAGCAAATGCATAAAACAACCCTTCAATTCACAGTGAAGAAAATGCTTCTGAAGAAATACACAGCATGACTACGTTAGCAGGCAAAAGAATTTCTGGGTACATCATTTTCTGATATTGCCAATGAAATACTTTGTGCAATAATTCAATTTATCAGGTGGAAAGACCACACATTTTAAGTAAATTCCAGCTTGTTTTACACAAGATGGCTGGATCTGTCCTCTCTTTCCCCCAGCTTCCTGAAGAAATACTGGGACAGGGTATTGCACCACTGTATTCAAACCTTCATGCAGTAGAGTCAAAATACAGTAAATGTTTTCTCAGCCTGCTTCATGGACAACTCTGCATCATCCACTACTAACTTATCTTGAGTTTTCTAGCAGTAACATAATATCCATAATAAAGATATTATAGATAATAAGGGGGAAAGGAAAGAACAGGAAGATGGAAAAAAAATATTATTGCTCTTCTCAAAAACAGTGGTTTAAGACTTCGTCTCATTTCTTTTAGCTAATTTATTAGCGATATCAAATCCTTATTCCCTGGATAAGATAATCAACATACCCCACCATCAGAATTTGTACACATCCTTGTCCTAGAATGCAAAAATTTAAAAAGAGAATTTTGAGTTGTAGAAAGACAACCTGGGATCTCTCACTTGCTTAGAAGATAGGGGGAGTTCTTCCAATTAGAGGGGAATTATGGTATGCTCTGAGAATTGAGCAAACGTATGTGCAATCTCTCTGCACATATTGCTTCTTCTTTTCAAGTGGTGGAGAAGGAGGCATGGAAGTGGAAAAGGAGGGTTATACAGGGCCCTGAAGCCCTATCCCACTGCCTAGGAAACCTTATTTAGCAACCCCCTTGCTTTCTGACATTTCATCAGGTGTTTCCTCCTTTACTTCAGGCACACCTTCACACTCAATAAGGGCTTTAAAAAGTTATTAAAAATGAAAATGGATTCAAGAAGAATTTTTTGGAGTTGCACATATAACCTATACAACACTATATTTTCTAGGCATATTAGCATCCAGCAGACAAAAGTACACAAGCTTTCAGAAACATGTGTTTCAATTCTCCTTTCGGAATAGCCTAAAGAGACCTTTAAAAATAAAATACAACGTAAAATAGTGAGTAAGAAAAATATCTGTCTAAATTTTCTGTTCTTCAAAGAATAAGTTCCAATGCATTGGAGGAACAAAGACTAGGTAAAAGCCTAATAGTTCTGGGCTAACAAAAAGAAAAAAAATACTGTATCCAGTAGAAACAAAGTGACATTAAATCCAACAAAAAGGAAATGCTGTGTAGGCTTCATGTTCAATCCGTTGAACAGATTAACTGCTGCAATGCCTGACCTAGAACACCCTGGAATCAACTGATAACGTGGTTCAATTCCGTCGCCCTTTGCTTTTTGTTCACAAGCCAGCTCTTAAACCTGCTCACCTTGACTGCAGCAGCCACCGAGGAGCCATTCCCATACTGGACATGCTTTCGGAGGTGATTGCAGATAGCTCGGAGTGTTGGGTGAACTTCCACACAGAATTTACACTTGTATCCCACCACCTTCCGCTCCTTCAGTTTTGAAACTTCTTCCAAGCTACCAAAAGGCTGGAAGGCCACAAAAAATTGAAACCTGCATCAACATTCCTTTCTGGAAATAAATGTAATGGATTTCTAGGTAGCAACACAAATACAATAGGGAACCACATTAAGCTTGTTTGAATAAATAAACCACTGAAGTGATGTATGTTTATTCTAAAGGTTGATATTTAAACTTTGTTATATGGATTTAACATGCCATTAAAATATTACTCCTAGCTCTTGGGGCATGTGAAAAAATTCCAAACAGGATTTGCCATCTTCTACTTTGAATACAAAAATATAAAGGTAAACCCTTGCATTTCTATATAGCAAGAGATTTAGAATGCAGGTAAGCTGACATTTTCCACTTTGGCTTTTTCTACACCAGATATGCAGCCAATTTAAAACCAACAGGACTTTCAAGGAAGCCTTGGGATTACAGTTTGTATGCTCATGTATGCTTGAGCATTAGCACAAGGTGAACCAAGACTAATCAAAACTAACTTCACAAAACTACACTTGCAAGAATTTGTTAAAAGAAGCTATTATAGCTTGGAACATTTAAAGAGGAGATGTTGTTGTTGTTGTTTAGTCGTTTCCGACTCTTCGTGACCCCATGGACTAGAGCACGCCAGGCCCTCCTGTCTTCCACTGCCTCCCGGAGTTGGGTCAAATTCATGTTGGTAGCTTCAATGACGCTGTCCAACCATCTCATCCTCTGTCGTCCCCTTCTCCTTCTGCCTTCACACTTTCCTAACATCAGTGTCTTTTCCAGGGAGTCTTCTCTACCAAAAGAGGAGCTGTAGTCACAATCAAAAAAATCTGGAATTTTGAGCTATCACAGAAGTGGAACAGTTAAATGGTTTTTGACTGGAAGAGGCTCCTGTAAAATTATCTGAGATTATGAATCCTAAAAAAAAGAACACGGGATACTTTGTGTTCAAAGGCACATAAATTACTTCATTTTCCTATGTGTGTTGCTCCAGATTCAGTCACTGCACAAATGGTTATTATAATATTCAATGACAAGCCTGACTGTGTCTCACTTATGAGCTTTGTGGTGCAGTGGTTAAACTGCTGTAACTGTAGCCAAAACTGTGTTCATGACCCAGGGTTCAATCCCAGGTAGCCGGCTCAAGGATGACTCAGCCTTCTATCCTTTTGAGGTTGGTAAAATGAGTACCCAACTTGCTGGGGGGGGGCAATGTGTAGCCTAAGTTGTAAACCGCCCAGAGAGTGCTTGCTGGGGGTGGGGGCAATGTGTAGCCTAAGTTGTAAACTTCCCAGAGAGTGCTTTTAAGTGCTATGGGACAGTATATAAGCAGCACACTTTGCTTTGCTCCTTTATACTTGTTAAATGAAATCCTACAGGCACTGTGAAACTGCTGGTGAGAGACTATCAGCATAATCACCAATTCATAGGATCGATCACCAGAAGAGGAAACTCACTCCAAATGACTAAACAAACAAAACAAACAAATAAATGAGCAAGCAAGCAAGCTAGTAGTGTGACCTCTGGTTCTGTTCCAAATATCCTCATATCTAAACTGAATTTGCACCAGAATTTGCATGTCAGCCTTTTTTGTGAGCATTCTGTTTAGGGTTTGTGACCCTGATTGCCTTTGCTTCCCTTTCTAGACCTGTTAGACCTCTGTCACATCATTCTTGGCTCACATCATCTGTAACCTTTTTTTTTTACTACCAAATATCTAACTCTTCTCCGAAATCTAATTCAATGTGTAGAATGAATGTGGCAACCAGCCTCAGAATCCCATTTGGCCGAAATGCTGCTTTTGAACTAAAATTTATCCTCCTACCAGTAGCTGTTGATCCATGAAACATGTTCATTTTTTTCCCGACTTACCTTGAAGGTCCAACATGGCAGAACTGGAAAAACTACAAAATCATTTAAAAACAACCCATTTTCCATATAAAGTTTACTGCTAATCGTAACCCATACCAAACAGGGTAAGTTGCTCCTCTGGGTATCAGTTTAACTAAAGAAACATTTGACCTGTAGTTCATGAGAATCATTCAGCAAAGCCATGGACCTCAAGAACTTTGCAATAGGCTTTCTTCTCAGTGATTTTTCCACGAATTCTCAATGACTTGGGTAAGAAACAAAATTAAATGTTGGCTCTATCAATACCTGGTGGGGAGCTGCAGAAGAATAAGTAGGAAAAGCAGCTGTTTCCTCATATCAGAAAACTAACAGAATTGGGTGCCAGTGAGAATCTAGCCTCCAAATGAAGAAGGGGAGTGGAGAACATGCCAGGACCTCAAGGAAGGAGCAAGAAAAATAAAAAAATTAAAAGGCAGATGTAATCAAGCTGCAATGTTTAATTGACTTAGGGCTTATTGGCATACCATGCCACTGGTGAGCCAGTAGCAACTTTGTTGCCAAAGGAAATGTGCATCTGGAGGCTAGTAATGAGAAATCTCCTGGGGGTGGAAAATGGGAAAGAACACCAAATACAAATATAAAAATGTGAAAACATATCCTTACCCTCTCTTGCTTGAAATCTACAAAAGCACCATCTGCATATTTTTGCTTGCTCAGAAGCTGCTTCCTCCTCTCTTGACGTTTGGCACGCTTCTGGAATTCCTCGTTGTGACTGTTCAAGTGTGAGGTCAGCTCTGCTATGCTATGCAGTTTACTATCACAGTGCCTGCACTGGTAGATGGGATTCTGGAAACGGGCTCCATTTCCCAGTATGGTAAAGTCTCTCTTTAAGTCTTTGCTGTGGTGATCCGTATAATGCATGCATAGCAGCTCAGCTGTGCTGAACGAGAGCTTGAAACACTTGATGCATCGGAAGGGAAGCCATTCAATTTCTGGAGCCTCCACCTCCACCTCAGGCTTCTCAAAATCATTCCTCTCCTCTGGGAGAGGCTGCGGCCTTTCATACTCATCAGCATACACAGCAGTAAAGTAACCCCCCAGCTTGCTTGCATGCTGTTTCTTAGGGAACACTCCAGGGTGGCGTTTCATATAATGGGACACAATTCCTTTTTTGCTGAAAGACTGGAAGGAACACAGGGAACACTTTTTCTTTTCCACCGCTCTTCTCAGTTCCTCACTTAATTGAGGAGAATCTTCTTTCTGGGGCGAAGGAATGATCACTTTATTGGGCTTGTCACTTACAGTCCTGGAGGCGGCTAAGCAATGGGTATAGTAAGCATCAATGTCGTGACGCTTCTGATAATGTGCAGCCAAACCTTTCCTGATAGGGTTCGTATAGGAACACAAAGCACATTTGAAGAGATTGTTCTTGCCTTCTGGCTGGGCCCGAACGTTGTTGTGTTTTATCCTGTAGTGCCTAGCAATCCCTTTCCTGGTGGAACAAAAATACTTACAGAGTTGGCACCGGAATACGGTGTGAGAAACCAAATGGGAACTTGAAAAATGTGAAGGGGGCATGGTATCCTCCCCCATGATCTCCTCAGGAACCATTTCAGGAGAGGGCTTAATTTCAGTAACGAGTTCAGGCTCCATGGAGGCAGGGAACTTAGGAGGAGACTGTGCAAATACATCAAATTCAGGCTGGTTATGGTATTTCTCATAATGGATCTTGAGTTTCTCTAAAGTGCCATGTGTATAAGGGCACAATTTACACCGGTAAGCACCATAACCTTGCTTGAAAATCCTACTGGTTTCCTCCACGTCATTCTGGTTCATGTCAGTAGGCTGCTCCACATCATGGACAAAATCTTCTGCAGTGACCTTTACAGAAGGATGCCTTTTCTGATAGTGTGTAAGAACGCCATGGATGCGTGTGTTGATATATGGGCAATGCCTACATTTGTACACCGCTCCTGGATTGATATCTATATCCTGTGCAAAATCTGCAGCTTTCACTTTCATCCCAGGATGTTTTTTGCCGTAATGGGTCAGAAGTCCATGCAAATTGTTGTATTCTGACTGGCACACTGTGCACTGGTATGGTGTTGAGGATATTGCAGGGTTCACAGAAGAGAGCTGGATCGCTTTGTCTTGGGAAAGGTTTGAATCTTCAGCATATTCTGCTTCCTGGTCCACCTGGGGTACTGCTACCTGGTCCTCCGAATTTACCCTGGCTCCAGCATCATTAGCTGCTGAGATGGTTTTATCAGCAGCATCTTTCTCCTTAATGATATCTAGCAATACAGATTCGTCACCATTCATAGCCCAAGGATGAAAAGCCTGGTAGTGATTAGTAATGTCCCAAATGGAAGATGCTTCAAAAATGCAATCTCTGCATTTGTATGTTTTCATCTCTGAAGGTATCAGCAAGGCAGGAGGTGAAGGATCTGGTCCTGCCCACAGCTTTGTTGCCATATATGTGTAGTCTACATAATGCTCAGGATGCCGCCTTTGGTAATGTACAAGCAAGCCACTGGGTTCAGCATGGGAATAGATACACCATTCACAATGATAACCAGCTTCTATTAAGCCATCCAAAAATGCCCATCGCAAAATAGACGTGACAGTGGCCTTCAAGCTTGGATGGTCCTTTTTAATGTGTTTCCGTAGTGCGTAAAAATAAGGAGATGTATAAGAACACTGCCTGCATTTCAGAGCTCTCAGCTTAGCTTTTTCTCGCTCAGCATTCGAAGTGGGCATCTGCATGCCACCAGGGGAATTTTTCTGGCCACGATCACATAGGCTTCTGATTGTGGCAGTGTGCTGCCTAATCACATCTGCATTGGCTTTGAAATCACGATGCTTCTTTTGATAATGTATGAGCACACCTTTCACAGTCCGGTTTCCATAATCACAGTGCTGGCAGAAGAACATCTCATTCTCTGGGGGAGCAGAACTCTCAGAGCCTCCTCTGTTCAGCTGTTGCATAGATGCTGGTGGTCTAGGAATGCCACGGGGTATCTCTCCAGATCTCATCATTGCTGCAGTAGGAGGAGCCTGCCGAATATATTTTGCAGTAACTTTGATCTCTGGATGCCTCTTCTGGTAATGCACAAGCACACCAACTACTGACCGGTTGCTGTAAGAGCAATGTTTACAGTAGTAAAGTTCAGTGGTAAGGTCTGGAGGTGGTGGAGGAGGCAGCTGTGAAGGCAAGTTGGACATTTTGGGGGAGACAGGAGATCCCATTTCATAAGCCATCTGAGCCAGGGCAGACCCCCTCTCAACAGATACTATGCGCATAGTCTTCTGAATCCTGAAGTATGAAGCCTTTTCTTCTGGATGTTTTTTCTGGTAGTGCACTAAAACAGAATGCATATTAGGGCTCGCAAAGGAGCAAACATCACAGTCATAAACTACAACACTATTTACCGCTGACTCCTTCTGGCTTTCTGACTCTGGACTATCACCTTTTGAGGAATTTTTGTTAAAAGAAGGCGGTACACCACTTCCACGTGCTACAGGAGATGAATTAGCCATACTTTTCGGAGCAGAGTTCAAGATCTCTCTTAAAGTCTGTGATTCTGAACTTAACCCCTCTTGCTGCTCAACCACATAGCTTGAGAATATCATTGCATTGTTAATTTTTACTGTTGGATGCATTCTTTGGTAATGTGGCATTAGACTCCTAACATTGGGGCTGGTGTAAGAGCAGAAGCGACAGCGATAGATCAAATCAGAATGATCAAAATTTAGTACATTCATAGCTTCAGGATGATGCTCACCATAATGTTGTTGTAGGTCTTCAAAGTTTGTATAATCAATGTAACATTCAAGACACCTGTAAACTGCACTGTGATCATTGGGATCCAGAATATACCTAAAGCTGAACTTAATGTAGGGATGCATCCGCTGGTAGTGAGTGCTAACACTCCTGGCAGATTTGTTGCTGAAGTCACAGTGTTTGCAATAGTAAAGCCTTCCGGAATCGCCATAATCAGAATTGTCATTATTTTGATCAGATCCATATATACTTGACTGGCTGCCCAAAGCGGATGAATTCAGACCTTGCTCCTTCAAGCCCATTGAAGAACAGTAATAGTCCTCTTCATCTTCTGATATAGTTAGCTCAATTTCTGCCCCATTAGTGGAACTGTAGTCATGGATGATATTCCTGTAGTTGGGCTCTTTCTGAGACTCACCGGCGTCTCTTCCCCACATTTGCTGGGAAGTGAAAGATGCGATTTCCATCAGAGGTTCTGTTTGTTCTTCCTCCTTGTCAAGTTCAACTTCTATCTCTACTTCATTGTCTTCCTCTTCCTCATCCTCATCCTCCACATTAATTACTGCATCTTCTTGCTGCTTGTTTTGACTGATTTTGCTTTGTAAATTACTAGCTATCTCATCGATTCTGGTCCTTTTCTTCACTGGGGACAGATCCAGGGGAAAGTCATTGGACATCTTCCTAGACGATTTTGCTACAAAATTATTTTTAGAAGACAGTCCAAGGATTGAGGTCTGGCTTTTCTTCACAGTGCTGGGAGAGGTATGAGCATCTGGTTCACTGTCTTGTGGGGGATTTGATGATGTGCCCTCGTATTTTGGCAAGTTGTCACAAAATGAGTGCTTATGTTGTTGATGAACCCGAAGACCTTTCAAAGTAGTTGTGGAATAATTGCACATGGTACATTTGTATGGGTGCTGTGAATTAGACTGTGGAGACTGTTGCTGCTGCTGCATGGAATCCATCATTCCTCCAGACTTCCTGCCATTTATATTGCCCCCTTCATAGGATACTGTGCTTTCATTTAAAGAAGAAGCTATACTTTCAGTTTGGGAGTTCACGGCATCCCAGTCGGATGCTGCACCGGTATGGCACTGTTTATGAGCTCCTAGTTTGAACGAGCTCTTACAAGTGAATGGACATTCATCACATTTGTACACCGCTGTCTTTCCCGACAGGTGGATGTTTTCAATATGGCGGGAAATGCTCCGCCGATGCATGGTGAGGAAAGGGCAGAAAGGACACTGGAACCTATTCATGAACCTCCTAAAGGGGATTCCCTTTGTTTCCAACAACTTGTGGCCCTCGGATCCCATCAATTGCTCTGCAGTGAGTCCTGAGGTTTGGTGATCCATGGAATTCAATCCATTCTCACTGTCTAATTCATTTAGTTCGTCATCAGAACTAGAGTCATTTAGCATACTGTTTGTATCCATATCAGCAGAAGAATTTGCCATGTCAGCAATCCCATAACGGGATCTGTCAGACAAATTAACAATGCCCGAGTTGTGAGGTGCCTTATGTTTCATATGAGGATAGGAAACAGAAGAAAATTTTGATGAGGAGTTGGACCTGGCGAGGGAATTGTTCATGGAACTTCTGTAGGCCGGGAGGTTTGCATTAGGCATCTCTCGCCCAGAAGCATTCATGGGGATATAATTAGAGTTTGAGGTGGGGCTTGGTGGACTCTTGCTGGGTCCTTCTGGCACATTGGTCCCATCCTGTTGCTGCCTCAGGCTCGACAGTATTTTCACCATGCTGCGATGTTTCTTCATCATGTGGTCACACCAACGTTCCCTTCGAGGCGTCTGGTAACTGCACCATTCGCAACAGAAGTTGCCTCTTGACTTCGTTAAAGGCTTGACCATGGACTCCAAGATGCTACGTTCTACAACTTCAGCAGGAAGTTCCTTGCATGGATCCTGTGCTGATACAGATGTAGATGCTGATTCAGATAGAGCAGCAGAGCTGGCAGGAGGAGTAGAGCTCTCTTTCAAACTGTTTTTGTGGTACATCTTTTGGTGTTTGATAATTCTGGCACGTCTTGGTGATTTATAAGTGCAGAACTGGCAAGAAAATACTTTACCAAAGCCCTCATGCATCATGATGTTGTAATTCAAGGAGCCAGCACTAGGTGAACCTGCCGGAGACCCTCCAGCCTGAGCACCATGCACTTTCCGTGTATGTTCTATGAGCAGGTTTTTGGATCTAAAATAACGCACACAGAATTTACATTGGAAAAACTTGTTTGCTGGTTTGGAGAGCATATGTTGGCCATAATAATTCTGGCTATGGCTATAGTAATTTCCAGTTCCCAGCTGAGCTACATTTTGCCCTAAAAAGAGAAGAAATGAGAAACATTGTTTTAGAAATTGGTCCATTTCCTACTGATTTTTTTAAAGAATTACAATTTGCATCTATCAACAAGTGCTCGGTTCTGTGAGAGCCAGAATGTGATAGTGGGCGAAGTTCTAGAGTAAAACTCAAGCAATCTGGGCCCAAATCTTGCTTGCCCATGAAAACTCACTTGGGGCTGGTAATGGTATGTAATTTTATGAACATCTCAAGTACCTTGAAAACACTACTGGACTGCATAAGTTGGAAATGACTTGACAACATATAACAACACCTGAGCTCTAATGATGTAATTTAATGGATTTATCACATGTAGTTTTCTTGTACAGATAAAATTTGCAGATAAAGCCATAATATGTGAAATGTAAATGGCTATTTACATTTTTTTTTCTGTTTTGGGGTTATTTATTTATTTACTTATTTAAAAACAGGGAGAGGAAAATTTGGCAAAATTTACACACAAGATGTCCAAACAGTTTGACACAGAAGCTCATGAATGGTTGTGGCAATGAAATAAAATGCCACTCTAATGTAAATGTCATTTCACATAGCTACACAAACATAACCATGCAGTACCAGTAGCAAAATCAATCAATCAATCAATCAATCAATCTCAGAACTATTGCCTACCAAAGTAGTTCTATCAATACATATTTTGGTATGTGCATATATTAATTGTTTGCTGATGGAATACATGCACTAATTTGCAATAAATACTACTGTAATTCCTGAATGTATCAAGCAAGCAATATGAGTGGATCAAAAGCTACAGGCAGTTGATATTAAGGCACAAATATATCACATGGGGCAATGATCAGGGATTACATGGGGAAAACCTTTCAGTTTGATTTATTTTGATGCCTTATCCATTTTTAGGTATCTTGGGTACCAGTCTTTTGTTAAGCCCAAAAGGGAGAAGCTCTTTTAGGTCTTACATTTCATTTCCTTCCATTCTTATTCTAACCTGACACTTGTCCAAAAGCCCCAAAGAATCATTAAAATACTAAGACCCCCCCTAAAATAGGCAAGACTGGCAACAGGGAATCAGTTCAAAAGGACTATAAAACCTTTTAAAACAACTTCAAACAAGCAGAGACAAGGCAGGCAGTCTACAGTAAAGTAACCAAATAACATAATTTTAAAAAATCAATGTAACAAGGAAACACCCATGCTCACTCTGACACAGGAGGGGGAAAAAAAAGAGAAAATAAAATATATACACATTGCCCCCTTTCTCAAAAACCAAGAAAAGCAAGGAACCAAATAAAGGCAATAATACAAAGTCCCCCTTCTCAGTCAAAGCAACTAGAGTAGAGAGAAATTTCTCTCTCCCCAACCAATGATGCCTTCCTTTCTCTTATTTGAATACATCCCTGGCATGCAGCAGCAGGCACAGGTGGCAAAAATAATCCAGAAAAGGAAAGGGGGAAATCCTCAAGAATTTGGGGAGGCCTCCCCACCCCCCCAAAAAAAATCCCAAGAAGTCACAGTGACATCTCAGGCTACCTGCCTGGAAGCAACAGCAGCAAACATAATCTTAAAAGGGGGTGTGTGTCTCTCCCCCCCCAAAAAAAAACCTCAGAAAAGAGGCAAAAATTATCCACAGATACAGAGAACACAGTCAAGATGGATGGCACTATAGAGCTCAGCAGCACAGATTCCATCCACAAGAAAGAACTCAAGCAAATTAACAATTTTCATTGTGTTCCAAAGAATCACAGAACCTTATAGAAAGACAAAATACTCTCTCCACCCTGGATATTTTGAATAGTTGCTGACAGCAAGCCTTCCTATGCTATTTGATTAAACCTTTTCCAGGTGATTTGATAGACAAAGAGTTGAAGGAAAGTGCACACGAAAGAGAAACATGAAAGAATCTGAAGCTTTCATGACCCTCCCTTTCATTAAAGTGAATCAATTGGATTTCAGATACTTTCTTTCAGGAATTAACCAAAGATTCAAAAACATTAAAATAATCTCTCCTCCTTTATTTTCCCTCATGATGGTGGCTTTGTGGTTTTTTGTTTATTTTTTAGTCAGAAATTGGAACAAAGTTATGGACATATACACACTGCTGATCAAGTTAATGAAAACTTGGGGGACTGTGGTTCAAATGGATATTGCAATAAATTCAACAAAGTTTTGCAAATGAGAGCTAGCAACAAAACATCATAATGACCTACTGTACATGAAATGTCACAACTGAGAGTCCATCTGTAAGAAAAAATCCTATTAACTTTTATACACTGTTCTAAGATGCAAAAATAGCAAATATGACAACATTAAGAGTGTGGCAACAGAATAAATCTTAAAATAATACTTCACGTGAATTAAATTAAGGTATTATTTTTACCTGCTATCTCATCTGCAATTGCAAATTCATCTTTTACCGAAGAATATTCCACCTCAGCCTGGTCATTGCTATTCATGGAACTAAACCTTGACTGGCTAGGAGCTTCCTCAGCAACATCTGTGGGCTGCAGAAATGCAGTATGAACATCTTGAATGTGAGCTTTAAGATCTTCATAGGATGGTGCTCGAAAATCACAGCCATCACACTGCAGCACCTCCATAGTCCTTATTGGTAAGTTTTACATTAGGAAAACCTGGAAAGCAGAAAGAAGAAAATTATCAGAGAACCATTTAGCAATTTGGGTCAGGGTCATTAATGTATGACTCACTGATTCACCACAAGGTTACTGAAGTACAGATGTAGTCTTGAGCAAATACATGAAAATGTCATCAGAAACGTTCACCTTCACCCCCAAAACCAGCAGCAAAATAAAGAAGCAACAAATTCCTTCAGCCACCTTGCATGTGACATTTTAGAAATATTCAGGGGCGTGTGTATCAAAGTTACTTTACGCACACAACGTGTGACTGACATTCTCTTTCCTTGCTTTGTCCAACTCTATCCTGCCATTAACACCAGTCCTTCTCTAGGAAAGAACAAGGAAGAATATAGTGGAAAACCATTTACAATAAACAGTAATACAGGGAACCTATTGTTTAAAAAGCTTCTAACACTCAACTGAAAGCAGAAACAAATTTACTTTTGAAATTTCATCCAATGCTTCCCTCCAAAGAGCTTAGGTGGCATACATGATATGGGTGATTTTTGCTGGACAATGTTTTGGTCTGTGCTTCGCAAGACGTTTTTTTTTTCAGGACCGTTTTTTGCAAGACAACGATTTTGATAGCTAGGTCCGCAACTCGCAAAACGTTTTTTTCAGGGACCAATTTTCACAAGACAGCGATTTTGACAGCTGGTCTGTGCTTCACAAAATGGTTTCTCTATGGGCGATTTTCGCAAGACGATGACTATTTTCCTCATTGGAATGCATTAAATGGATTTCAATGCATTCCAATGTGGAACCGCATTTCGCAAGACGATGTTTTCACTAAACAGTGATTTTCACTGAACGAATTAACATAGTCTTGCGAGGCACCACTGTATAGACTCTGCACTCCAGCACAGCTGTCCTCAATGGCATGCCCTTTAGATGTCTCTCAACATCTCAGGCAGCATGCTGGCTATGGATAATGGGAATTGTAACCCAACATACCAGGAGGGTATAGTGTTGGAAAAGCTTTCTACTGCACAGTAGGTTTGGTGGAAAAGACTTTAACCAGCAATCTCACTTTCCAGTCCATTACTTTTAGTAGTACAGATCTCTTATTGATGTTTCTAATGATGATTGAATATTTTAAAATCTTCTCTAAGGAGTTAGAAAGAATACAGTGTCTAGTCCTCCTTTCATGGTACAATATGAATCTCTCAACAAGATGACAGTAATCATTTTGTGTTTCAGTATTTTGTAGACCATATGATTCTACTGTTCAAGGTAAGCATGCAACTTCTGCACAAAATCTTAAAAAAATCTATTTAGATAATTCTAGGAGATGATTGCTAACTAAGCTGAATATGTATCATTTTCTGCAGAAAGAAGCATACATAAAAGACAGGATTAAAACAAAGAAGCCAGAATTGTGCTTCAGTGTGCATGGATCCAGTATTAGCTATTATCTTAATGAACAGAAAGGCATGCTTTAACCTTTTCTCACATACTCCTGTAGGTCACATTCACTCTAGGAGCTCCACAAGTTCAAGAGATGGAACAGCAGCCAAAATATGCCATGATGAAAATTCCACTCTCTTACTGTAGTGCGATATAAAGTTACGCCTACAGTACACTACGTCTACAAGCTGAACCATATTATGTCCCTGTAGTACAAAAAGGAACTGCTGTCAAGATTCTGCATCAGAAGAAAGTTCATCCAGATAGCATGCTTTGTTTATTTATTTAGAAAACACTTCTAGACACAGTAAGCACAAAGGCATGTTCACCAACAGGATCCTGAACACTGCAATATGCTGGTTCTCCAGCTATCCTTCCTCTTTTCCACCCTTCTCTTTCCTTGTACTGAAAGAATAAATACTGGAACTGCCTCCCTTTCAGCTAACAAAGTTAAGAACAATCAAGATACTCAATCTTTCATGTGCAAGCGCCAGACCCAGACTATGTGGAAGAGGTTGCTATCTGCTCTGGATCAAATTACAGCAGTGAGGACTGTGGCCCCACCCCACAAGTCTCCTTTAACACAGTCCATTAGACCTGAAAACAATCCCCCCCTCCCTCATAGCCACCATGGGGCTGCAAAATGACTCCTGAACGCAGAATGCTCCAGAGGAAAAAGTAGGAGCAGAAGAAAGAAAGAAAGAAAGAAGCAGATCTTCCAGTTTTCACTGCCATCTTCCTAACCTTCCCCCCTGCCCCTCAAATGTACAGTCCTTACATTTGAGCCAAACAAGACCCAGCTCTGCTGAATGTGTTTATCACACTTCCAAGAGATATGAGCTCCTGCGTCACTGAAGCTTTAAGACTCACTAAGCTGCCCTAGTCCTCTGAGCTTTAAGGGAGAGAGAGAGAGAGAGAACAAGAGGGAGAGGGTGTGCAGCCATTTTAGCTCAGACAAGTCATGTACTCAGAAACGGAGAGGCAGAGCTTGTAGCCAGCGTGCAACATGGCTTCACTTATCTCAGCCGCCTCTCCCGCATACAAAAGTCTTCTCCCTTCCCCCTTCTCTCTCACCCTCTCAGTCTCTCTTCCTCCAACCAAGCAACCACCATGAGGGAGAAGCAGACCTTCTCAGGATTTGGACCCTGAAAGAGCAACCTTTGCCTGAAGATGTTCTGTGAGACCAGCATCTTCTCTCTCCCCCCCCCCGCCCCAAACACAGCCAGAGGCAAAAGATTTCTCCTAAGTCTCATTCCCCAGAGATCCCACAAAACATTCAAGCACCAGCAAAAGGGCTACCCAAAATGTCCTCCTGCAAGACACCTCAAATATGCCATATTAACACCAGAACTGACAATGGCACAAGGAAGAAAGAAAGATACGGAGGGAAGGAAGAAAGAAAGATACGGAGGGAAGGAAGAAAGAAAGATACGGAGGGAAGGAAGAAAGAAAGATACGGAGGGAAGGAAGAAAGAAAGATACGGAGGGAAGGAAGAAAGAAAGATACGGAGGGAAGGAAGAAAGAGAGATATGGAGGGAAGGAAGGAAGGAAGGGAGAATAGGGTGGAAGAAAAGCCTTCCAGTATGTTTCAGCCTCTTGGGAGTCATTCTTCTCTGCACAGAAGACATACCATCTGACTCTGCCTGCCAGATTCCAAAGTCTAATGACCTTTGTTAATCACCAGCCAAGCTGTCTGCCTCAGCAAGCCTTGCCAATAGGCACACCCTTCCACACAAAGGCTGGAGCTATTCCTTTTGGAGAGAGGTTCTCTGAAAGCTCCATTGTGTAGGAAAACCAAGGGGAAAGAGTGAAAGGGGTGGGGTGGGGAGGGTAGACTCTCTTCCTTTAAATGCTGTGGAGTCTTTCAGGAAGAAAATGACTAAATGGCCTTCTTCTACTGTTTCTCCTTGTTGGGAAAGTTCTCTGATTGGCTTAGGAAACAAAAGAAGAAGGGAGAGGGGGAAAAATCTCTCTCTCAGAAGGTAAAACCCAGCCTCTGCTGAGCAACCAAAAAGCAACAGAGAACTGTCAGCGTTATAGGCTTGCATTTCCTTGAAGTTACCTTTGAAAGGTATTAACTCTGGCCTCCCCATATATAAATGTGCAGACTAAATACTCAGTTTGTTCTGTAGCAAAACCAGAGTAAAGAGCTGTGTGACCACCAGGTCTTAATGGGAATACTCCTCCTGGAACAGCCCCTCCCCAAAATGCCCCAATAAAAAGCACATGCATGGTCTCAGTACATGTACTCTACCATAGCACCTATTCATTTCAACTGGCAGTGTCACAAAGAGAGCTTCCTGGAAGACTATGACAGCAGGAAAAGCTTTTAAAATGCACCCCAACTTAAACAAAGAATCCCCAAGTCAAGGAAAACATCAATAATCTTTCAAGAGTAGCCATCAAGATTTCTTGTCAGGTACATCTCAACTGCCTTCAGTTTTCATAGCACCACGAAAAATCAGAAGAAATGTTGTTATCTCAATATTTCTTGTCATGGCTCAAATATTCCAAGACAAGGGATGGGGAATCCCCAAAGACCAAACATGGGTTTAAATAATCAAGGAAATTCAAAATACGATGTCTGCATTTTTCTTTGTCTATGGGAAATAAAGAGCAGAGGGACCCATCTGTCGGATGACGAGCGGCGCTCATTTTCACTGCAGATGTTAATATGCTGTCAAGATGCACACGAAAGAGAGATATATGGAAACAATATCAGCATGTTTGTCCATAATGACAAAGGCAGCAGTTGCAACATTTCCACGTGGTTGTAACCAGGATGGTCCAGAGTCTGCCACACATAGATAAATCTACTCCAAGATTAACCAGACTTTGTGTTAACCTTCCTCATTTAGCTCCCAGAATACAGCTATGCAAATATGGCTGAACTGTGTGGAAGACTGGTAATAGGCTTAGAAATGTTTTGGGACAATGGTCAGGGTCTAGTTACAACAAATAGGAAAGAGTACCCAAAGGAGATGTAATTCAAGGGTGGCAGACATTTGGCACAGGAGACATTTTGGACGACTCAAAGACTCCCCAGCTTGTATTGCCAATGATAAATGACTGGGCCCAAAACGCCCAAAGTGCCAAAGGTCCTTAACCCTGGAACTAGGACCTTGATTTGTGAAAGAGGCAAAAACAAAAAGCCAAACACATCACATACTCTAATTTCTAATCAAGGTTTTTTTTTCTTGTTTGAGAAAACAAACCATAATACTAATTCTGTCTCTCAGTAAAGAAGCATGGTTTTGTTTTGTTTTTTTGGAAACAGCAGCCCCTTGTCATTCCAGAGAGGAAGGTATTTGTGAAAGAGAATGTCCTTTCAAAAGCATGCAGAAGTAAAGAATAAGCTCTGTGTGACCAAAAGAAGAAGGGTATTAACATAAAAATATTATGCTTCAGACACTCCACTAACCTAGGCCAAGTACCTTTACATTACTGTAAGCAGTTATCTGGATCCCAGCATTTTTTAAAATTGTTCCAACATTTGAAGCCTTTCAAACTTCAAAGCATGTGTTGCCTTAGTAATTTAAGGAACTAGACACACAGTATACATGCATGTCTACACAGGTTACAATCT